AATATTTCATTAAATTATAGTTTATACGTACTCTATGCTGATTGGTGATTAACCGTCCTTGCAACGAAAGTACTGAACGTAAATGCGCTACTTGACGCTGCTTTACACCTTGTTCTTGTAAACGTATTACCCATTCTAATGCTTGTCCTAAAGATACTGGACGTGCATTACTACTTTGCTGTCCTCCAGATCCTGCGCTATTTACGTAATTAAAATCTAATTGATGCGACAGATAAGAAGTTGCTTCTAGTAATCTGTTAAATTCTCTTTCAACCATTTCATCTTTATCTTTGGGAACCTGTAAAAAACATAAAATATACTGCTTACACTTTGTAACATATGATTAATTTTTATTTACATAATTATAAAACAATTTCAATGCCAAGAATATTTATAATAACTGTATCAAATTTAATACTGTACAGTAAAATCTATTTTATTTCATTATTTTATTAAAATAATTCAAACATACCGTTTGGCCATCGCTTTCATACAATGGACACTTTTGACGTATCTTATGAAGCTCCATATTAATTTGTTTACTAAGAGTCGTTACAGGATTTCCACCTAGACCTGTGACTACCATAGCTCCTAAATCCGCAATATAATTTGATTTACGAAACGTAGCGATTCGTCCACCAACACGATCCTAAAATGCAAATGAATTAGCAAAACAAACGTAGACTCAAGAATAAACTAAAATAAGATAATTATCTTATTTTATATAATTACTAAGTACTTACCCTAGCTTCCAACACAATTACTTCTAAGCCGAATTGTTGCATTTGTTGAGCTGCTGCCAATCCAGCAATACCAGCCCCTATTACAATGACTTTACCTAATTTTTTAGTTGGTAAAGGCTGCAAATAAATATAGATTATTCATTTCTCTAATATTGATATATATTGTATAGCATCCAGCATCCCCAATATTATATATGTTAAATTGATACTGTAATTTGAATTATACATACACATATATATACATACATATATACATATGTATATATAGTATATATAGTATAATACATGAATTGCAATATTGATTTATAATATGATATTGAAGATGCTAGATAACACTGCTTATCAATTGTTTAGCAAGTCGAACGTAAGATCGAATTAACTACATATTATATAAATATTAAAATTATTCTTCTCATTCCAGTGTCTTATGTTAGAGAAATAGTAACCTCTTTTGCATATATTTATTGATATATAGGATCTACAGTTTTTAATGCTAGATCTAAATAGTTTATTAAAAAAAGTTGACATGACAAAGATATTCTTGATAATTTGTCATTGCTTTCCAAAAGATAATCCAAGAGATCAAAGAAGATCTGATATGTATATTCTAGGTGAATTTGAATCCGGATCTTTAACTGTTACGCAACATTCTGTGCCATGATCGCTACTTATCGAAATTTTATAAATATATAATTTTTAAATTACCTTAAGACGTTTAAAAACTCCGAAGTTTACAAAACCATGTCGCTCTAAAAATGCATGAATCCTACGAGCAAGTACTGTGTCACTGTTATAAGGTGATTCAATTTGTGATAATACATTTTCGATGATTAACTGCTGTTTTGGATTTTCCAACCAGATTTGCAGCTAAAATTCAATCACATTAAAAAAAGTACAATGAGATCAATTTAAATACTCACAAGTCTATTCCTAATGTGTAAAAACACTTTCTGTGTTTGTAGTAGTCCACCAGCGATATCAGGAAAACAAGCAGCTTCAGTAGATGTCAATTTATCAAACGGAAGACGACTCTGAAAGGCTGCACCTTCCAATCCATTTAACAATTCCTTTACTAAATGTATAGATATAAATTAATATCCCTATCAACATTACCAAATTTAAAACTAATAACTAATTTATAAAATTCACCATGTGGATCTTCGTGATCACTATCTTGATCATCATCATCCTTAACCTCGGATTTTGAGACAGAAGGTATAGGAGCAGGTACTGTAGATTCAGATTCCTTTTTTATCTCAATAGGTACCTTTTTTTCAGGTGTTACGAGACCAGTTTTAGATTTCTCTGATGTATCCGAGGCGTTTTCATCTTCCAACTGATTATACTTTTCCTCCATTTCTCTATACTCCACCTATAATTAAATATACCTCTAAATTCATTCACTCATTAATTAAAAATTGAGATGCTATATAAAAAAAACCCATAAAACATAAATAATAAATATGTTTAAAAGTAAAACCAAAATAACTGCAGGTAGTTAAATAAATATATATCACCAAATGACATATACAAGTGTATACATAACCAAAATACCTGTCCTGTCTCATGATAAACAGTATATCCATGAATAACTATGAAATAAATCAGATAAAAATCATTCATTTCATTAACTATCACATAAAAGATAAAATACAAGCCAGCGTACGACGATTTATCTCAAAATCGATGTTGATGCACTTAACCACAAAAGTTAAAACATTTCTGGAATCTAGACGAATCTTAATGAGAAAAATGTGAAAAATACGAACCTTTGCTCTTTTCCTGCGGCTCATATCGTGCTAATTATTTAAATATTAGCTGATTATTTAATATCGATCCAAAGTGATGGCAATCACAGTTTCTCGAGTTTGTTTTGATGCTTGAAACAGCCGGCACACATAAAATTCAAGATTGGCAGTCATCGGATAATGCGGGAACGCAGCGCCCTCGAGGAATCCTCTGGAAACCGATGCGGTAGACGAACTCGATGAATATCCGGAGATAAGTACAGAGAAAGACATGAACTGTCGATAACTACACTATCATTCTATGATATATAGAGTGAATCAAAAGTTTGGATACAATCGAATTTCGAAGTATTCCTGAAAAAAATATTTCATATAAAAGTTGTAGGATTTTAATAATGCATCAAACAGGGTTCTTACTTGAATTTGAGTATAAAAGTATAGGATTTTCAAGGTCAATTTACAACTTTTCATTTTTACTTGATATTTTTATAGCTGACATCGAGATCTTTTCAAAATACTTATTTTTAATGTAAAGATGAAAATTAGAGAAACAACTTTGATAGTTCTGATTTTAACAAACATCACGATTTTTACGACATTGTGTGTGTGTGTGTGTGTGTATATGTGTGTGTGTATGCGCGTGCTAGAATAGATTGTCTCAGGTCTTAGGTCATTTAGATTGGTCGTACCAATGTTACTTTGACTTTAAGCAAGACTTAAAACTCTCTGTCTCGTTTTAAAGCGAAAGAGAGACAAAGAGAATTTTAAGCTTTACTTAAAGTCAAAGTAACCAGACCTTAAGGAATCATTATGACCATTATAATCATTAAGTTCATTTTCTTCCATCTATACGTACATAAAAGTCTCAACATTTTTAAATTTCTTTCACACTTGATGTCGGAATATATAAACTCTCTATTGACAATATCTAAAATGATCATTCAAAGAGTTAGGCATGAAGATTGTAAAGCCATCGAAAAGCTATTGAAGCGAAATTTTATTAATAATCAATAGATACAAAAATGTTAGACAACATAAAATATATGTCATTTTATAAGAATTGACAAACTACGAAAAGATGATCAATAGACCACAAATAGATTTATAAGAGATTTATATATATATAAAATACATATTATGAAGTATTTCTAACAATAATTTTTTTTTTAAATAAAAGAAATGTTTAGCTTTAGAAAGAGATGGCTTCGACGGGCAACTATTATATTTATGCAACGTGGCAACATATGATGAAAAGATTATCGGATATACGCTCTTTTATTACATTTATTTCATATGGTATGGAAAGGATACGTTTAGAAGATATTTATGTGACGTCGGATTTTCGAGGGAAATTGTAAATTGAAAGTAAAAAATGGTCTTTCAATTTCTTGTTCATATTGTTTTATTACAATAACATTGTTAAATTTTATTGCATTGACAAATGTTACATTTTTACTTTTTGTGATTGCGTTCCTAGCTTAGTTTATTTTATTTCAATACGATATTCTTATATATATATTTTTTATCCTTCGAAGGCTTTTTAGAGAGAGAGAAATATATGTCTTTCCATACTTCTAGTTAATTTCTGTAACACTGCACTGTTTTTAATATAAACTATAGCAAATCTATATTGATAAGAATTCACCCTTTATTTTTATCGATAAATGGGCATTTGTTGATAAAATAAGATGTAAATATGGACATGTACAAGGTGTCTGTAACTCATGAGATCACTCGTCATGAACAGATAGAGCGAACTGAGTCAAAAAGTCTTTTATTCATTTAAAATTTTCGCAATAGTTAATGAGATATTAATTTTTAAAGATTAGCTAAATATTGTTTTTCAATAATTTTTTATTCGAATACTATCAACTTTATAGAAAAACAGCAAGAGACAAAAATTATTTATTTCCTTCTCATAGAGTTCTAAGAATTTTTTCAAAATTTTTTATTAACTCTTTACTACTGCATTTTTCTTAATGGCAATTATTTTTATCAACATGAAAAAATGCGGTATTAAAAAATTCTGAAAAAATTCTCAGAATTCTATAAGAAAATAAACGATTTTTGTCACTTGTTTTTCTGTGTGTCTTCCAACAAACGGTGTGACACAATGGATCATTACATCCTTGTTGTTTGCTATAAAGTTGATAGCACTTGCATAAAAAAATATTGAAAACTATTCAGCGATTTTTAATAATGAATATCTAGTTTATTGCAAAAATTGTAAAATGGTAAAGAATTTTTCGACCAATTCGCACTGTCTGCTCATGACGAGCAACCCGTAGGTTACAGACACTAATATATAGGTACATATCACATCACACGCGCACGCACATGCACACGCACACACATGCACACGCACACACATACATATATTATACCGCTGTTAGATTGTCTCAGATTTCACAGACCATTCGAGGTTATTAGATTTACTTTCTTCCATCTGTACGGAACATTTTCAACATTTTTCAAATATTCATGTTTATTTGCAATATTTAAAAACGAAATCTCTCGCTATTGATAATGTCTGAAATAATTGTACGAAGAGCTAAACGTGAAGATTGTAAAGTCATCCTAGAACTTTCAAAGGTATTTTTTATTGATAATTAATAAAAACGTTACACAACTTTATGTATAAAACATGTCATTTTACAGGAACTTCTAAATTACGAAAAGATGTCCGATAAACCAGAAATTGATGATAAAAGTGAGATTTGTGTGCTTTCATATTATGTTATAAAATGTCTCTAAAACAATATTTTATAATAAAAATTGTTTAGCCTTCGAAAGAGATGGTTTCGACGGGGAACCTTTATATTTGTGTAATGTGGCAACGTGTGATGAAAAGATCATTGGATACGCAGTCTCTCATTACAATTATGCCACATGGTGTGGAAAAGGTATGTTGCTGCAAGATCTTTATGTGACACCGGATTTTCGAGGAAAAAATGTTGGCACCAAGCTTCTAAAAGCTGTCGCAAAGGTATGTTCAGTTAGAATTGCATATGCAATATGTATCTGATTACGAAATATTTGCAGGATGCAATTGAGAATGGTTGTCATAAACTAGACTTTTTGGTTCTTGAGTGGAATCCAGCGCGAGAATTTTACAAAAAACATAATGCTATTAATCTGTCCTCTAAGGAACCATGGCTCCGTTACCGTATTTTAGAAAAAAATTTGAAAGAATTGGTATCTGAATAGCATAAATATATTGTAATTAACTAACAGCGGTAATGATTATATTATACATACAAATATTTAATTTCAAATGAACTTTAAAATTAAAATTAAACAATAATTATTGCAATGGCTATAATTTTAAATTAATAATAAAATATTAATAAAAATAGAGAGTATTGAGTGCACGAAATTGATTTTTAACTCAATATATTTTCAAAAAATTTTGCGTCACAATTATTGTGCTTTCTCTATTTTCATTATTATTTTATTATTTCAAAAGTAAAACATCAATAAAAAATTTCTCGTATAAATTATATTATGAGATTAAAAAATTATTTCTTTAATCTTAAGTGATACATACTGTATTAAATAATATATTATTTTTGCAATATTTAATTCCAGCGTGTATCGTACCGTATAATTTTTTTTAGTCAATTTCAATTGTGCTCTTTTAATATTTCTCCTTTCCGATCGATTTATCTTATTTATCCATCTTATCTTATCTTATCCATAGACTTTATAGATATGACAAGACATACCGTGTCCTTATCCGTACATCTCTCTTCAAAAGAAATTGGAAATAGATATGTTTCGCGCATGCTTGGCATGTATTATACATTGAATGTTTCATTTTATTTTGCATATTTTTTTTAATTACCTGCACTTTATATTTTTAAAAAGAATCTTACTTCCTTCTTTGCTACAATATATAATTTAACATTTTTACAATAATATTAATGCATACGTTTAACTGACATGCGCAATGTAGACTTGCGGACACTTTGAGAAAGAGAAATCGGCGTGATGCTTGTTTTCCTACTGTATTGCTAGCTGGATTTACCACGCACCGTATTGACTGTGGTGCTATCAGTGCCAGTATTGCAGCCAATACAGTAGCAAAATTCTAATCCAGCTAGCAATCCAGCAGGAAAACAAGCATCGTGTGTTGCAAGCTTAAAATACGTTTCTGTCCAATCTCTTCCGGATGTTTCAAATGCAGAAACTATAGCAATTAATACTAGTCCACATTTGACGAAGCTACGATCATACATGTGTATGTATACTTACATGCACAAATACTAATCATTACATTATATACATATATCTAGATTAGATCAGTTACTACAGATCATTCAAGGAGATATAATCATTAGGTTTGCTTTCTTACATACTTTCGTATGTACTTTATTGATATTTGACGCCGGAATTTATATTTGATAATGTCTGAAATCATCATACGAAAAGCTAAACGTGAAGATTGTGAAGCCATCAGAATGCTCATACAGGTAATTTTTGTTGATAACCGATAACGATTGGACAATATAAAGAATATTATTTTTCAGGAATTGGCAGACTATGAAAAAATGCCCGATGGACCAGAAATTGATTACAAAAGTGAGACTTATATATTTTTATAACAGTTACATATTTTATTATGTTATGAAATATCTTTAAAATAAAATATTTTGTGGTAAAAAACTTGAAAAAACTTTTAGCCTTAGAAAGAGATGGCTTCGACGGGCAACCTTTATATTTCTGTAATGTAGCAACATCTAATGAAAAGGTCATTGGATATACTTTGTCTTATTACACTTATTCTACATGGTGTGGAAAATCTATGTATCTGGAAGATATCTATGTAACGCCAGACTTTCGAGGAAAACATGTTGGCATCAAACTTCTAAAAGCGGTTGCAAAGGTATGTTTAGTTAGAGTAACATATGTGATATATGTCTAATAATAAAATATTCGCAGGAAGCAATTGAGAATGATTGTCATAAATTAGACTTTGTGGTTCTTAATTGGAATCCAGCACAAGAATTTTATAAAATGTATGGAGCCAGTGATCTGACATCAAAGGAACAATGGCACTGTTATCGTTTCATCGAAAAAGATTTGAAAAAATTAGCATCTGATTGTGAATAGCATGATGATATTTTAATTATTGACAACGGCAATCATTAAAACAGGGTGGCTATTAGAATTGTGTTAAAACAAATGATTGTCAAAACAGAATAGGAAAATATATAATGGTTTACTTTCAATATAATCCTAATAGTCACCCTGCAGTATTATATATACAAATACTCAATATGTACTGCAGTATTATAGATACAAACACTCAATATGTATCAAACTCACTTCAAAATAAAATGTTCAAAAAAATTTTGTCCCTGCGTTACAAAATACATGGATAACTACATTCTTTGTATTTTTCATCTTTTCTCTTTCTCTCTCCAATATATCTAACTGTAAGCTAATTTAGATCAATTTTACTAGTTTAAGTGTAAAAAATGTGACATTAGTGTAGCACAAAAAATGAACTCAGAAAGAAGCTCGAAAATAAATATCTGACGTACCCGTGTTTTAAATAGAACTCGTTCACTGGCGCCTCTGTATGCACAAATGTTCACGTTGAACTACGTAGCCACGGATATTTTTGGCGGGTAATACGTCCTTTAATTTTGTTCTATGCTATTTACATTATTTGCAATGGTGCTGTGTTCTATGACAAAAGATAATTACATAACAATATATTCTAAAAATAATAATTAAATTCGGAATAATTTAAACCTAAGAAATATAAAAAGCATCAAATAAATATTTATCATTTAAATTAAATGATATAATCTAAAAGTTGAGTGCATTTTATTCTTCTCTGTTGCGTTTATTTTAATAATTAACGCTTTTTAACTTTTTTATATTTTTTAGACTTAAATTATTACTATTTTTATAATGCATTAGAGTGTGAACACAAGAATTGTAACACTTAGCAACTTAAGTTGTAGATGTAAATAACGCACAAGTTTTGGCGTATGACATACGATTTACTGCCGTCTCTTGGAGACCCGGCAATAAGATTTACGTCATATGTGAAAGCTTGTGCATTACTTACGTTAGAAAGAAATCTGAGAGCTAAAACTTGTAACCGCAAAATGCTGCCGCGCACTACTGCCCTCTGACAAAGTGGATGTAAACTACAACGTTCACTTTTCTTAGGGTACATCGTTCATTTTTCAAGGCTGGAGATGAGAAAACGATTTGATTCATATAATCGTGTTACATGTAGCACAATTATATGAACTAAATATCGATTTATTATCAAACTTTGACAACACTAAAATTACAATTTCAAAGAAAAATCAAGTGTTAATGAGTTATAAATGCATAAATACGTCTACTGAACTAATAAATCATAAAATTAGTACAATATTATCAGTTTTTGACTCTTAATTATTTCAATATTCACACGAACGCGAATTCCCGTAAAGATGTCGGTCTTTAATATCTCGTTGATGCTATCAGCGATAAAATTGATAATCCGATTTAACAAAATCCATGATCTCAAAAAAAAAAAAAAAAAAAA